AACATACTCATCCTCCATGGCTTGTCTCCACTTCTCATCTTCAAAAGCTTCTTCCACGGTTCTGGGAATGGTATTTGAGTATAAAGAGGCATTAAAGGCAACAGCTGTGTTAGAAAAGTTTTCATTGCTGATTCTTTCTATGGGGTATCTAGACCGCTGATCTTCATATTCCAGGTCATATCTTTTTGGAGGAACATCTCTCGTGCTTCTGGGAGGTAGCTCATATCTGTTTAGACAATTATCACTAGGAATAGATACAGAGTCAGTAGGAACAGTACATGGTTCATGGATTTCAGAGTTTACCTCAACTGATGTTGACTCGGGATGCTGAGTGGTCGTCATTGGAGTGGATTGAAGAGAAGGAGATACTGATGTTTCAGTGTCAACATCGGTGGTATTGCCTACTTGTGTTGGAGGATCATGGTCCATCATTTCTGGATATATTAACCAGCTAAGGTCGTCATTACTTAGTCTCCCCCTGAGGACCAGGCTGGGTATAGAAATAGGAGTGTTCAAAGAACTCACAATCAAGAGTGGTGTAGATTTTATTTTTAATGGGATCAAAGCATTGGTACCCTTTTTTATTAACCCCATACCCAATAAAAAAGCATTTTATGGCTCGTGGTTTGAGTTTATTTCTAACCCTCTTTGGAAGATGAACATAGACAACACAACCGAACAACCGAGGAGGTAAAGAATGATAGGATGGAATAGAAACATGGGAAGAAAGGGTGTCAAGTGGAGTTTGGTAGGCTAGAGGTTTGGAAGGGAGTCGGTTGGTTAAATATGTGGATGTGGCAATAGCTTCTGGCCAAAAATGGACAGGAACATGAGATTCTAACATAATAGCTCTAGTGATTTCAAGAAGGGTTCGGTTTTTCCGTTCAGCTACCCCGTTTTGTTGGGGAGTATCCCAGCAGGTAGTCTGATGAACAAGTGATCAGAAATAAATTGTTTTATATCCAAGGTTATGTACTCTCCCCCGTTATCAGATCGGAAAATTTTAGGTTGGGCATCAAATTGAGTATTGATCATGTTGTAGAAATTTATAAACACGTCATATACTTCAGATTTATTTTTTAGAAAATAAACCCAACTCATACGGGTGCAATCATCCACAAACAAAACAAAATAAGAATAGTTATGAAAAGCAAATTCAGGCGCAGGACCCCAGACATCAGAGTGAATTAAAGTAAATGGTCTAGTAGCATGAGTCAAACTAGGAGAATAAGAGTGTTTATGGCTTTTTGCAAGTACACATGCTTCACAATCCAAAACAAAATCAATGTCTTTAAAAGAGGGAAATAATCGTTTAAGATAACCTAAAGAAGGATGACCTAGCCGACTGTGCCACATCCAGATTTGATATTCCGGTGACCCATGAGCAAGCAAAGCGTTACCCTGTTGAGTTGTCTCATCCACATAGTATAGACCTCCTCGTTCAATACCACGACCAATGATCCGTCCCGTCTGAGCATCCTGTACAATACAATCAGAAGAATTCATTAAAATTGTACAATTTAGTTCCTTGGTTAATTGACTAACAAATAAGAGTTTATGAGTAAGACTCGGAATTAAAAGACAATTTTTTAAATGAATTTCCGATGTAATATATACATCTCCGGCCTGAGTAATTGGAACAAATTCCCCATTTGTAGTCTGAATCTTAGTACGGGTAGTGGATTTTGATGAAAGAAAGTCGGATGGGTCGTAGGACATAGTGTCCGTGGCCCCACAGTCAAAAATCCAAGTGGATTTATTAACCATGAGGCCCAAACCGTGAGGAGAGGAAATGGAATGGGCTTCTGGTTTATAAAGGGGGTCTTTTGTGGTTTGGGCTTTTTGTTTATTAGGGTGGCTGTTGGTTTGAGGAAGGGAAAGGGTGTGAGGGTTTTTCTCATTTCTGATTTTGTTGTTCACACTCATTGCCTCATAGATATTTCTAGAGGAAGATTCCTCTAGAAGCCTCTCATCTCCTCTTTCCACTACTGTTCTGTGTTCATCCATGGTTCACCAGAAAAACCGGTGAACCCATGTCTGCTGCTCATACCTGTTCCCCTGTCGGTGATGGTGGTAGATGGGTCTTTATTGGTGTTCGTCTGTTCGTGTCTCTGATAGCGACATTGGCCTTGCCGCCGGTCTTCGGTACCTTGGTGGCGGCCTTGCGCTGTCTTAGATCCTCCCACCATTCCGGGTAGCCGATGAGCTTAAAACACCCTTCCTCGGTGTGTTTTGTTCCCCCGCAATGACTGCACTTCAGGTAAGTTTTGTCCTCTCGTCGGGATGAGGAATCCGACCGGCGTTGAGCGACAAGGCCACTTCCAATCTCTGAGGGACCTTGTCCCGGTGATGAGACGCCGGTCATTATGCTGCGACGAGCAATTTCTCGTCTGATAGAAGCGTATGCGGCGTCAATGGTTGGGAGGAGATCTAAATACAAAATATTCCGTTTTTCCTTGTCTAGTGTATCACTCACACCTGCCAAAAATTGGTACAACCTATGTCGTTGTATAAACGAATTAAACAACGTGATGTCCTCTGCACATTTCATCGGGTTAGGCATTCTTCTATCAATTTCCTTCCAGAGGGTATTTAATTTGCTGAAATACACCTCTATAGTATCAGTCCCTTGTTTCATAGAGGCAGCCTTTGAGTTCAGATCATAGATCTGTAATTCATCCCTACCACTACTGAGTAGAGTCTCAATGTCTTTCCATAGATCTCGGGCAGTTTTATAGTCCAGGAATTGATTGACAAGTTCTCCGTCAATATTCTCGATGATCCATGAAAGGACCATCGAATCTCTTTGAGCCCATTGCTGGTACTCTGGATCGTCTGGTGAAACGGGGTTGGCGGTGATGTGATTGAGCCTTCCCCGGCCACCAATTGCTATCTGCATCAGTTTACACCATTTGTTGTAATTGTTAAAATTCAGTTTTTTAGCGACTCGCACTATTTGTGAAGTCCTTGGTTCGATGTTGGTCGGATTTTTGTTGAGTTTTTGAAACATTTGGAACAATTGTTCCATATGTTCCATGGAAATAAGTTGGTTGGTGTTTTCCGGTGGATCTTCCATCACAGGTAAGTTACGGTAGATGATGAGCACCAGGAAAACGATCTCCCGAGGATCGGCCTTATGGCTCTGATACCATGTCTAAAATTACAGACGTATATAGAGAGTTTAAGGGTTTAATTTTCTGTATATTATTCTACCTGGAAGTAGATACATTTATACAAGAAGAGTTAGAGAAAGATAAGGAAAGAATCATACAAGATATATACTCCTAACATAATTAACAATATTCTGTTCCTATAATTAAGGGGCTAATTTGACTATTTCCTACATAATACAAGTAGTTAACAAAATGAAATTTTGTTGGTTTATTACTCTCAATCTCTCACCATCCCCAAATTTTATTCTCATTTTCTCTAAAATTGTTATTCATAAGCTTTGCTCTCCTTACCATATTTTCACTTATTTCAATTTTAATAAGTTCATACCTGTATTAATTAAGTTCAAGCTTAGGTCTTTGTATTGAGAGAAGACGGATCTAAAGTATCAAGATAAGTGGAATTTAGGTGAAAACAAGTTCAATACAGATTCATGTAAGATAAGTTTAGGATTAATATGTTCAGATTTAGGGTTAATAAGTTCAGAACTTTTTGAAAATTATAAAATTCTAATTAAAATTGAGAAGAGCTTAAATATTCTTTAAAACAACAGCCATTTTTCCCTTTGTCTACTACTTATATAACAAAATGATCATTGAAACAAATATAGAAATGGGTTATATTTTGCATAGAAAAAGTCATACATATCCACTAATAAGGAACAAATTACCCAGAAACTTAGAATAAGAACCATAACAAAAATCAAGCAAAATAGGAATTTTATGAATAAAAATTTACCTAAGAAAGACGCTCACAATAAAGTCAGCAAATGTGATCATTGACGAACTGTTGAAAGGGGAATTGAAGAAATGGGGGGTTTTAGGTGGAAACGAAGAGGATGGTTAAGCCCAAACCATTTTTGTGCTGTGGTCTGGGGACTTTTTTCTTGTAAACATTGATCCAACTTCTTTGGTCCAGACATAATGCCCAAATTCTGACGAGTTTTTTATTTTTCACTATTCATATACGAGTACTAATTTTAATTATAACTAGGATGGCTACAAGTACTTTTATTCAGGAAGCTCTTTCGGTTTGGTCTTACTCACAACTTTAGTTGTTAATACTTGTTAGTAGCAATGTAGCATTAATGAGGGAAAATATGTAAACAAATATTTTTAGGGATATAAATGTCCACACGCTATTTTTAAGAGTTTTAAAAAAGAGTTAATTAACATTAATGGGGGTAATTAAGTAAGTAAATATTTTAAAAGATGTAATTGTCCAAACACTATTAATAAGAGTTATCTCATACTTTTTAAAAGGTTATGATGTATTAAAACAAATTTTGTATCATGATATATGTTACGGAGTATTAAATAGGTGTTATTATGTTATTTCCCGTTCCATAGCATAGTGTATATGTCATGAAAACAAAATCCACTAACTTTACTAGTTTACTCTACAAATCAGTAAACAACTCATCTATTAACTATTACTATAACAAAACATTGCTGACATCATCAATCAACAACTATCCTACATGTCATTCTCACATTAAAAAATTTCCTTACAGTTCTACGTGTGATGTCATCAAATAAATTATTAATATTTTTATTTTTATTATTAATTTACACTTTGACTTAAATACATAAATGCCTATATAAAATTCAATTAATCAGGTCTCTCTTAAATTATAGTTTCACATACCTAATTTGTTTGATGTTTGATCGTGCATTTCAATTTTTTTGTTACTTTCGTTAAATGTAAATTATTTTATATCTAATTCTAATATTCATATACATTGTAATACAACAAAACATAAATTACAAGAAAAATTAATTTTAAACGTGCGATGCACGAAGATAACCTAGTTTCTGTATTTATGAGCATGTAAGATTTTCAAATTATACAAGTACGTGTCCAAGTGAGCATGTCGATTATTCCGTAACGGAGGAAGTATGCATTTGTTTGATGTTGTGGACTTCTTGTCAAGGTTGGGCTAACTTCTTGATTTCAGACATAAAGGCCAAAGCCAACTTCTTGACATTACCAAACACAAAAACAAAATGTCTATTTTTCTGTAGAATAATGGCATTATCCATTGAAATCTTGTAGCTTAATGATGAGATCTAGCTAATGGAGCAAAGTGCCTTAACTTTTATGATTTTGCAAAGAGATAAGCTATTACTTCATTATAAGTAAGTGGCTCACACATCAAACCCACTTCTTATTTATCTTCCCACTATCTTTTTTAATTCATGTTTTTGCTCTTATAAATTAGGCTTTTTTGATTAATTAAAGTGTATAATCTTACATTTCTTTTCATCCCTTGAATTGATATGATGAAATCCAATCTCAAAAAATTGTGGATCCTACTCCATTGAGGGAATTATTGAGTTGACTTATGTTGTTGTACTTTGATAGAAAGGTGTTCGATGAAAGTCCTCAATGAAAGTTCTCATTCAAAATTACCCCTTTCATTCTTGAATAGCTTTTGATTCCTTGGATGTATTCCACGTAGACGTTTTTTTTTTTTTCTTTTTTTCGAGTTGAACTAACGACGTGTTTGGTTGATGGTAATATGTTATGATTATGGTAGTCTAACATGACAATAAAGCAGTATGTCATTGTCCATGGTAATGTTACCACTTTCACGATGTATAAAATGGTAATGAAAATTTACGAAGAATGTATTGGGTTATTCATAAATGCTTTAGCATCATTTTACTTATGAAATTAGACCAAATTCAGAGAGGTTTTTACCAAAAATAGGTTGGTAAAGATTTTCTATATAAGAAGAATGATTATGAATTTGCTGATTGGATGAAAGACAATTCTTGGTAATTGGTTGAACAATTTGCATTGGGTTTCCTATGATTCGTTGGATGTATTTGGGCATATTTGTTAGTTCAAATATTCACTTTACTAGTTTAGATCAGTTGTACTTGTGATAAAATTAATATGAGAAATCAGTAAAAACATCGGCTACATGGTGCGGTGCTGCCTGTCTGAATCATGAATTAGTGAACACTGAAACAATTTAGTATTAGTTTTAGTCAAGCTTAAAGCTAATAATCTGAACGCGACTGAAAGATACAATCTTGCTTAGAATAATGATCTCATGACACTATGCATGCTATTTTCATTACCATCAAACACAATGCTTATTATAAAGCAGAAGATCTAGCATTAGATGAGAAGTTTATTACACTGACCACCAGGTTCTGACTTTTCTGTGTAACAGAATACAGAAATTAGCCTACTAACTGACCAACCCTTTACATGGAGCTTTACACTGGATAGATGTTAGCTGATGAAGCTCTCCTCTTAATTGAAGGTATAGATCCGAAATTGCCATCAATATCATATGGACATATTATTGTACACAGGTGTACTATGCAGTGTACTTGGCATCATCAAGGTGGTGGTGGGGTGTGGATTGGATTAGCTGACGGTGGTCCATAATCGTTTCTCTCAAAATCCATCCTACCCTTGATAAAATCGTCCTCCATTTTATCGTTTAATATATACTGTTCTTGTTAGAAAACAGAACATAAAATTGTTACAGGAAAAGAAAAGACTGACACGTACGTGGTGTATGAATTGCATACAATCATATACGAAGAAGCATAACAAATACCTGTTGCATTCTTCTGGTTACTACAATTTCTCTTCTTATATTAGGGAGATTGTTGAGCCCTGATTTTGTTACACAAACAATCAAACAAATATTAGTCAAGAAAAAGATATAAAATGATCAATTATTGAGAATTTAAAATGGTTTTTTCTGTATTTTGAATTACTTGAAACAAGAACTGCATAGCCTGCATTTGACGAAATAAGGTAAAAACAAGCAAGCATGAGCACAAAGAGATGAAGCCTGTGGGCTGCCATAATATTGCTTCACTTGAGGAATAACTCGACGATAGTTGGGGTACTATAGAGGTTTGTACCTTTTGACATTTTTATAGTGTAGGCAATGTTTGGAAGTTTAAGATATGATAATGCACATTTGATGCTTCTGATAATACAGATATTATTATTTGTTCATAATATGAAATCATATATCTTTTGATAGGTTTCCCTATTGTTCCCCCCTCCTAAGTACATGGCACGTACACAATATTTCTTGGTATCTTAGTTATTATCATATCTGATATTTTTATGAAAATATTTTCATGTTATCTTTTGTATTCAATTGATGTATATCTTGTGATTCATGTGAATCATTAATGAGTCATAGAGATCGTATTAAGCCAAAAAAAAAAAAAAAATTTGATATCTTTTGGACAATAACTTGATGTTTCTAAAAGTTAAGTGTCCGTCATACCCATTTTGCCTCTACCTTCAAATAATCATATTAAATATGGACTTATTTTGTTATGATATGGTTCTAAAAGGCTCTTGGGATATATTTTTTTTCTCCTCTATGCATTCTGTGCATGTTTGATGACTAATGTATGTCAAACTCTGATAAGGAAAGTAGAACCCACCATATACTCAAGTGGAGGAAAATGAGTAGCTTTCAAACAATAGGTTATTTTACCACCTGTTTAAGTCCACTATATATCTGATAAGCTAAGCATGTAGAAATTTTAAACTCAGTAACTTATGTGCTTTCAGAACTTCATTCAAAATTCCTCTGCTACACCCAGGTGATTGTTCTGTATGTATAGCTTAAAGGACGAACTGGTTTAATGGTTTAATTTGAACATATTCTTCTTCTAAGTATTTTAAACACGAATTAATTTATGGTGCTTAACCTCAACTTACTTATCAGATGCAAATTACAATATGACCAATCCAATTGTAGGGATCCAAGTTTTACTTGGATTGGTGGGGATACTCGAAATCAGATTGTTGAGTTGGGCTGTAAAATTGTAAAATCTTACATATTTGCAAATTTACAGTAGTGATAGTCCAACTAAAAAAAAAAATATATATATATATATATATATATATATATATATATATATATATATATATATATATATATATATATATATATATATATATATGATATTTAGCTCAGCTATTTAAGAATACTAAAAGCTCTATATCAAGCTACTGAAAAACGTTACCAACAACCTGTGTGTGAGGCTGTTAGAATTGAGATCCTAGTTTGCATCAATTCTACGATGAAAATTGTTATGATTGTGTAGTGTCTTACAACTATTAAACAGGTGATATGAAGCTGAGCTTTCATAGAGTTACTAGCTATCGTTCTACACCTTGTGGTTGTGGAACCGAGCCCCCTCCTCTTCCAAACTAGGATTTTGACATAGGTATTAGTTTACAATGAGCTTACCACAGATTGAATGCAAGTAAGGCGCCTTTTTCCACATTCCGGAAATTTTATGGTTTGTGCAGCAGAACTTTTACCTTGTGGTCGGCAAACATCAAAAAGTTGGGCATTGAACATTATCTTAGTAGCTGTACATGCTAATATTCAACCTGCCAAAACCTCTAGGTTTGTATTCTAATTCTGTTTCAAACATTCAGTGTGTTTGGTTGATGGTAATATATTACAATTATGGTAGTTTGACATGAGCACAAGACTATAAAGTTGTACGTCATTGTCCATGGTAATGTTACCACTTTCACGATGATATAAAATGGTACTGAAAATTTTTGAAGAATAATATTTGGGATTTTCATAAATGCTTCAGCATCATTTTACTGTTGATATTAGACCAAATTCAGAGAGGTTTTACCAAAAATAGGTTGGTAAAGATTTTCTATATAAGAATGATTATGAATTTGCTGATTGGATGAAAGATAATTCCTCGTAATTGGTTGAAGATTTGCATTGGGTTTCCTATGATTCCTTAGATGTATTTGGGCATATTTATTAGTTCAACACTTTACTAGTTTAGATCAGTTGTACTTGTGATAATATTAATATGAGAAATAAAAAAAAACATCGGCTACATGCTGTGGTGCTGTTTAATGTTTTTTTCATTACCATCAAACAAAATTCTTATTATAAAGCACAAGATCTAGCATTACATGAGAAGTTTATAACACTGACCACCAGGTCCTGACTTTTCTGTGTAACAGAATACAGAAACTAGCCTACTAACTGACAAATCATGGAGCTTTACCCTGGATAGATGTTGGCTGATGAAACTCTCACAGTAATTAAAGGTTTAGATCCGAATTTGCCATCATATGGACATATTATTGTACACAGGTGTACTATGCAGTGTACTTGGCATCATCAAGGTGGTGGTGGCGGGGTGTGGATTGGATCAGCTGACGGTGGTTCATAATCATATCTCTCAAAATCTATCCTACCCTTGATAAATTTGTTCATGTTATCGTTTAATACATACTGTTCCTGTTAGAAAACAGAACATAAAATTGTTACAGGAAAAGAAATGACTATGACACGTACGTGGTGTATGAATTGCATACAATCATAGTACAAATAACTGTTGCATTGTTCTTGTTACTACACTTTCTCTTCTTATATTTGGGAGATTGTAAAGCCCTAATTTTATTACACAACAATCAAACCAATATTAGTCAAGAAAAAGATATAAAGTGATCAATTATTGAGAATTTAAGATGGTTTTTCTGTATTTGGAATTACTTGAAATGGGGACTGCATTTGACAAAACAAGGTAAAAACAAGCGAGCATGAGCATAAAGAGATGAAGCTTGTGGCCTGCCATTATATTGCTTCACTTGAGATATATTTCAACAGTACTATAGTGGTTTGTACCTTTGATATATTTATAGTGTAGGCAATATTTGGAAGTTTAAGATATGATAGTGCACATTTGATGCTTTTGATATTACAGATATAATTTGTTGTTCATGATTTGATATCATATATTACTTGATGGGTTTGCTTTTATCTTACCAAATATTGTTATGTAAATATTGATATCTTTTGTAGTTTGGTTCAAGTATATCTTTAATAAATCATAATGATTGTATTAGGTTTGAATCATTTTGTAACACTGTACATAGCTGTATCATCTCATAAACATAATTAAGCATTCAACACTATGTTCTTACCCTCCAATTAGCACATTGCACGCACACTCTCTCTCTTGGTATCTTAGTTATTATCATATATATCTGATATTATTATGGAATTATTTTTTAAATTATCCTTTGTAATCATTGATGTACATCTTGTGATTCATGTAAATCAATAATGAGTCATAGCGATTGTATTAAGCCAAAAAATGGATCTCTTTTGGAGGATAACTGGATGTTTCTGAAAGTAAAGTGTCTGGCATGCCCTTTTTGTCTTTGCCTTCGAATAATCATATGAATTTGGACATATTTTGTTATGATATGGTTTTAAAAGGCTCTTGGGATTTTTTTTTCCTCTCTATGTTTTCTTTGCATGAAGCTTGTTTGATGACTGATGTATAGTGGAAGACATCAGTTGGAATTATAATACTTTGTATGTCAAACTCTGATAAGGAAAGTGGAACCCACCATATAAGTGGAGGAAAATGAGTAGCTTTCCAATAATATGTGTTATTTTACCACCTGTTTAAAGTCCATTATATATCTGATAAACTAAGCATGCAGAAACTTTGAACTCAGGAACTTGTGTGCTTTTAGAACTACATTCAAACTTCCTCTGCTGCGGCAGATGATTGATCTGTATGTATAGCTTATAGGACAAGCTGGTTTAATTGTTTACTTGAACATATTCTTCTTCTGAGCATTTTGAACACGAATAAATTTTTGGTGCTAACATTTATTTATATTATAGGGATCCAAGTTTTATTTGGATTGGTCCTTGGTGGGGATACTCGAAATCAGATTGTTGAGTTGACCTGTAAGAGTGTAAGATCTTACATATTTGCAAATTTACAGTACTGATACTCCAACTAAAAGTATATACTTCCTCCGTTTTTTTAGATGCCTCGCTTTCTATATTTGAAAGTTTTAATTTAGATGCATCCCTTTCCTTTTTGGTTAATAAATTTTTTCTATCTCTCTTATATCACATGGGTCCACTTTTTTCTCTCTCTCTATCTCTTTCATCTCCAAAAACTGCTTAGGAATCTGTGAATTTAAAGTGATGCATCTATTAAAGAAACGGAGGAAGTATAAATGATATTTAGCTCAGCTGTTTAAGAATACTAAAAGCTCTCACTTTCGCTAAGCATATCAAGTTACTGAAAATTGATACCAACAACCTGTGTGCTACGTTGTTTGAATTGAGATCCTAGATTGCATCAATTCTGCAATGACAATTGATATGAATGTGTAGTGTCTTACAACTATTAACTGGGCGATATGAAGCTGAACTTTCATAGTGTTACTATCTAGCTTACTACACCTTGTGGTTGTGATAATGAGCCCCCCTCGTCTTCCATAATAGGATGTTATTATAAGTATTAGTTTAAACTTAAATGAGCTTACCACATGTTGATGCAAGTAAGATGCCTTATTTCACTTTCCGGAAATTTTATGGTTTGTGCAGGAGAACTTTTTATATAATAGACTGAAATCAGTCTGAAAATCAACTTATACCTTGTGGTCGGCAAAATCAGAAAGTTGGGCATTGAACATTATCTTAGTAGCCGTACATGCTAATATTCAACCTGCCAAAACCACCAGGTTTGTATTCTATTTCTGTTTCAAACATTCAGTATCAGAATCACATGTTACCTACATCATCATTTATCTAGCAACTCATTATTTTTTTAATAACATTTGTAATTCTATTTTGTTGAGTTTTTTCTCAGTTACACTGCCCTTCCGCATTTTATCACGAGCCCTTTTTTTTTTAGCTGAATTGTACTTGTGTTAATATTAATAGGAGAAATCAGTAAAAGCACCCTGTCTGAATCATAAATAAGTGAACACTATTCTGTAAACACTTTAGTACTAATTTTAGCCAAGCTTAAAGTTAAAAAAACCTGACAGTTCAAACAGACAATCCTGTTAGAATAATTATCTCATGACACTATGAAAGCTTATTTCATCATCATCAGACATAATACTTATTCGAAAATAGAATATCTAGAATTACATGAGAAGCTTATAACACTGACTAGGTTATGACATTTCTGTGTAACACAGAATACAGAAACTAGCCTACTAACTGACCAACCCTGTTCAATCAACTGATATAGATAGGGTCGGCTATGTAAATTCCTAGAAGACAAACCGTTGAGAATACATGCATGAGTGATGATTGACCCTACTTAGACACTTAGTGTTGGCTAATGGAACTACTCCCTGAATTAAGGGTTAAAATTCAAACTTGCCATCTTATGGACTTTCTATACACTTACCAGAGTAGTTTTTCTTAATAACTGTAGAGATAAGCAGTGTAATAGGCATCATCAATGTGGTGGTCTTGGGGTGTGGATTGGATTAGATGATGGTGGTCCATAATCATTTTTCTCAAAATCCATCCTACCCTCGATAAAATCTTCTGTTACTTTATCCTTTGATATCATCTGATCCTGTTAGAAAACAGAACAAAATTTACTACAGGAATAAAAATGACTCAAATGACTGTCAGTCTGTCATACGTGATGCATCCATTGTATACATAGAAGTAAAAATACCTGTTTCATGCTTCTTGTTACTACAAATTCTCTTTCTTTATTCGGGAGATTGTTAAGCCCTGAAATTGTAACACAAACAATCAAACAAATATTAGCCAAGGAAAAGATCTAAAACGATCAACCATTAGTGAAACTTGAAGATGGTTTAGCTGTGTTTTTATTACTTGACATGGGGATAGCATTTGACATCATAAGGTAAGAACAAGCGAGCATGAGCACAAAGAGATGAAGCATGGGGGATGCCATTATATCTTGCTTCACTTAAGGTATTACCCGTTGATAGTTGGGGTACTATAGAGGTTTGTACCTTTGACATATTTATAGGGAAAGATATGTTTGGAAGCTTAAGATTTTTGTTATTATTTTATTAATTATAAAAAAAATTTGGTCCAAATGTAGATAAGCTTTCTCATAATTCTATCAATTTACATTAAGTCGAAAAAAGTCAAATTATGGGGTTCTTTTGGACAATTACTGGATGTTTCTGAAAGTTTAAGTGTATCGCGCACTTTCTGTTTCTGCCTTCCTTGAATCATATGAATTTGGACATATTTTGTTATGATGTGATTCTGAAAGGCACTTGGGATTTTTTTCTCTATTATTTCCGTGCATGATTCGTGAGGCGTGTTTGATGACTGATGTATAGTGGAAGATATCAATTGGATTTATAATATGTCAGTCTCATAAGGAAAGTAGAACCCACCATAGAAGTGGAAGAAAATGAGTAGCTTTCCAACAATATGTGTTGTTTTACCACCTGTTTAAGTCCATTCAGTGTCTGATAAAATAAGCTGTGGAAATTTCAGACTCAGGAAACTTGTGTGCTTTCCGAACTTCATTCATCATTCCTCCGCTTCATGTCTATCTTACACCTAGCTTAAAGGCCGAGCTGGTTTAATTTAAACATAACCTTCTTATGAGCATTTTTTGGTGCCTTAACACTAAAAAAACTTATGAGACAAGAAAAAAATTAAAGTATTATGCCCGATTGTAGGGATCCAGATTTTCTTTGGATTGATGGAGATACTCTGGATCAGATTATAGAGTTGAGCTGTAAAATTGTAAGATCTTACATATTTGCAAAAAAGTATGCTGATAGTGATAGTCCATGCATATTTGCAAAAAGTATGCTGTAAAATTGTAAGATCTTACATATTTGCAGTACTGTCAATGCATTTTGGAGCCCCCTTTCCCTTCCAATATAGGATGATGTTATGTTGACATAAGCATTAGTTTTCAATGAGATGCAAGTAAGTCACCTTTTGTCACGTTTCAGAAATTTTATGAGGAACAATTTTTAATCAAAGGCTTGAAATCATTCTGAAACTCTTCATATCTCTATAATAGACAATAATAATTTTTCAACCTTTTGTTGTCAATGTTATCCTTGTGGTCGGCCAACATCAGAAAGTTGGGCATTCAGCATTATCTTAGTAGCCGTACATGCTAAAATTTCAACCTGCCAAAACCTACAGGTTTGTCTTCTGTTTCTGTTCCAAACACCCAGTAGCATAATCACATGTTACCAACATCATCTGTTATATATATAGCTACTCTTTATCTTTATGACATTTTTAATGCTATCTTGTTGAGTTTTCTCTTTGGTACACATCCCATCCTCTCTTATCATAATGTTTATAGTAATATCTTTCTTACTGAACTGTATTCATGCTTAAATTCCTGCTTGCTATAAAAGATGGATAAGTTTTATTATAAAACTTGCAGATTTGGAATTTCGGAAAATGGATTTAGTTTCTAATAGATACTCCATAATTGATTTCCATTGGATGTTCGAAAATCTTTGCTTGGAAAGAAAAGATAAAAAAAATTAAAACTGATGGCTGATATCTAGTTTATGTCAATTGCAACTGAGGATGAAACCATAGGCCAGAAATTGATTGGCCTTTTGAGGTCTTTATTGAGTGGACAGCTATGTCATTAAGTAATGTGTGGTGAGAGTTTGCATGCCTTTATCAGACAGTGGTGCTGGCTTATAGATGTGGTTCCTTTAGGTATCTGGAATCTTAGTATGAAGTGGAGTAAATGAGCAGTTTGTTGATAACCAAACATAATTCGAACCAACTTTATGTGGAAGCATAGGATTCAGTCTAGAGTTTGTTGATTCTAATACATATATAATGATGTGAGCACTTTAATGTGAATCTTTGGCATTTGGACCACCCTTACCCCCACGTACATACTAGAAAGGTAAAAACTTTTGTATGTTGTATTCTCTCCGTCGAGACCACATTGCTATTCTACGTAGTCCCAAAAAAAAATAGGCCATACTAAATATATTTGGTGTGTTGAAATTGGAATTTTCCTGTATTATCCATAAGAGTATACTCTAATTAAATTTCAAAGAAAGATGACTTAGGATTGGTGAAAATGTATTAATGTAAAAAGCTTGTTATTGAAGTTGAGATCCTTTTAAATGGGTGCCAGTTATTCTTCAAAAAAATAATAAGTACCAGTTATGCATGGTTTCGTCTGGAGTTATGCAACGATTCTGATTATTGCTTAAACTTACAATATTGTAATTGCTTGCCAGGATTTTTAAATTCAGATTCAGATGATGGCTTACATGCTTCAGGTATCTCTTTCTGTCATGCTTCATTTTGCAACCTCAAACTAGGGTCTTGATATCATTTTTTTTGACAAAGGGTCTTGATATCATTAAACACTTAAACTCTGGGAACTTGATTAATTGAAGCTTATTGTGCATCTAATATTGAACGATTTCTACAAGTTCCAAGTACAGCATACAGCAATGCAACCCATGTTCCACTTTGGTCTTTACTTGCAATAATGGCTTTGAACGTCAACGAAATATTGTGTATAGCTAGTTTGCTACCATAAAGGGGAAAATAATGAAAAGGTAATAACATCTGAAAAAGATCAAAGTACAGGCATTGGGGAAATGAAAGGTAAACAATTTTGGAGCAGATATTAAGAGAAAAAAGAGTAAGCCTATTGATGAACTCTGACATTAATGTGCTACTATATTGCTGTTACAATTAACTCGGGAAGGGGATATGCTTATGAAAAGAAATGAAACTCATAAGATTTGATTTCTCTTAAATCATGTTGAATATTCAAAAAAAATATGTTTACCTTCATGTTCTTGAAGTTCCAACTTGGCTGCACTCCTGATCTTTACATACATATCTTTCAATTGCAGGAACCGATCCAATAGGAAAGTGGGCCTGGTCCATCGAGTGAATCTTTCGTGAGTATCACTTTGACTGCAGTAAGTTCAGTCACCACTGGCTATCTTGGTGATCCGACTCAGTTTGTATACACTTGTTCTTCATTTAGCTCCTCGTACTACTTATTGGTTTTAAGACTCAAAGGATATTATATTTGAAATAGACAATTATCTGGAGATGGTCTAAACAGACTTCTATAATTGAACTGGTTTTACGTGACTGATTCTATAGGTATCTAGCCTTTATGAAAAATATTATCTCACAGGTTAGCGGTGTAAACTCATATAATTGAACATATCTACATCTTTCTACCTCTACTTTTTTCGCTCTCAAATTCACTGGTGCCATTCTGTTACTTCAAATTAGCATTTTAGCTGCCACATCCGTTTTGACAGGAAATGAGAACGATGTTGGTATGGAAACTTTACCTTGCAGTCAGACACTTCATACCACTTTGAACGATGGGCAGATGCAGGGGAGAGTGGCTTAGAGTCGTGCAATCTACTCGAGTAGATTAAATATTAGAATTTCAGACAACAATTTTGAGGTACTCTATCTCTTGATACAGATTATTCTGGTTAAAAAGTATGTTATGTACTACCTCCGTTATATAATATTTGCAACTTTTGAATTTCTATATCTCACAAATAATACCAAAAAGTTGCAAATATTATCGAATGAGGTAGCACATTTCGGGTACTGTTCCTGTATCCTAAACTTTGACGGGTGGCATGTCAGAGAGTCAGACTCAGATATGTATAACCTGTATGGCTGTATTTGACATCCAATCCCAAGTATAAGTAACACAAATGAACATGTTCAGGGATCCATGAACAGTGATGAATGATCTAATGATCTATCCTTTCTTACATCTGACTTTAAGTACTGTAAATTTCTGGCAAATAGAGTTAAACCTGTATAGTTATGCTTATTAGAAAATCTGCAGGATCTGTTTTTGATCCAAATGCTAAAATTATACAAGTATTTTTTACAACTATTATCCTAAGATTTTGTTCTGTCATGAGGATTGCGACAACATGAACTTGATTTGTTTTGTTGTTTCTCATTAGTGTTGGTGTGGCCCAAATTATCTAAGCCCAATGTTTTGGTGGATCATTTGTGTATGTTCTAGAAACTTTTAGATGAATCAAATAAGGTTAGTGCTCATAGTTGCACCTGATATCTCTTGACTTTTTAATAAGCTTATTGATAATTATTAGCTGGGTCCTCTAACATAATATCAAGAGATCTCATCTGCATCCGGTAAGAGTGACAAAAAGGTTACGAATTCAGATATCATCCACATCTCGATATACATGAAGTAAGATTTCATTTTGTGTTAAGAAAGCTTCTTTTTAAGGTAAGAAATTTAGTATTGGTAAATTTCTTTACTTGCTCTCTCCTCTTCTCATCAACACCATTTGTAAATCCATTTTGCATAGTTTGTTAATAATGTGAAGCTGTAAACTTTACTTTATGGAGCAATAAAAAAAGAGGTAGAAGAGAGCATGAATTAGAACATAGATGTATTATACTTTGTATATAATGAGTTAAATGATGCATTGTTTCAAATTGATGCATCTATCCTAGTTTACAAGAAACTTGATTTTTTTTTTTTTTTTTAATAACGAATACTCAAAATTATTTTGCACTTTGCAAGCATAAAGAATACGTAGTATCATTTTTTACATATTGACATACGCATAATAAACATTCCTTTATTTGAGCATAAATTTGAAAATTTTGTACACCCTATAAGAAATGTGACCAAGTCGAGCATACCAAACATCTCCAGACTCCTTAGTGACTAGCAAAACAGGAATGAATCGCTCCAGATTGGTGCTTGGTGAATTAGGCATGGTCTGAATTGATGTGAACACCTTCTCCATTGTCTTTGTTTTGAGAAATATCTATTGATTTTCAATGACAATTACCTTTCACATGATCAACTCAATCAATTACAAATTCATGTTAGTCCAACCTAACTCTTAGTTAACTTCATCCCATTGACATCATTTAACAATATGTCATACTATGACGTAGTTCAGACTTATGTCATTCTAGAATACTCCAAATTATAATTAACAGACAATTCAAGTTTGGCAGGACAACTTTTATGCTACCCAGAAATGTGCTAAATTTTGCTGCTCTAAAGAGTTTCTTTTCTATGGCCTTTAATCTCTTACCATAAATGACCCATCTTTAGTCGATCTCTAATCTGTCATTAGTGTAACCTACAATTAGTGGTCATAAATATTTAATCGCCTAACTCCATTTTCGGCTTTTTGCTAAAAAATTACTATAATCTCGATTTAAACTCAAACTTATTGCTTAATTAAGTTAACTATATGATGCTACATCTGCCTAAACTCATCCTTCTGCCTAACTTGACAAAAATCTGTGGTCATATATGGCAATTATCATGTATGTTAAGTCATGATCTTGGTTTAATGGTTTTGTTACTATTCGTTTTTAACTTTGTTAGATGAATTGGTGATTTTACCAATTCAGAGTATGTGCTCTACATTGTATGTGACATGTATGTGCCTTTTACCTTTTTTTTTTAACAAGAAAAAGGATTTCATTGATGAAAGATAGCCAAATGGCACTTACAAACTATTCCTAGAAAAGTTAAAATTCCAACACAAGTACAAATTACCTTAAAACTAGTTATATCGCAGATTCGATCAACAATCGCCTTAATAACACTACTAGAAATAGGCTGATTTCCGAGGGACTTTTTCCGACGGACACAATTTTTGTCGGAAATTTCAAATTTTCCGACGGAATTTCGATTTGTCGGAAAATTCCGTTGGAAAAGGTTATTTCTGACGGAAATTCCCTCGGAAAAGTTCCGACGGAAATTTCCGTCGGAAGGTATTATTTCCGAGGAAACTAATTCCGTCGGAAATGTTTTGAAAAAGTCAAACAATTTCCCAAGTCTTTCCGACGGAAATTTCCGTCGGAATTTACAATTTTCGGCGGAAATATTGTCCGTCGGAAAGAGACGGAAAATTTTCCGTCGAAATTTAAATAAAAAAAAAAATCGTGGGTTACTATTTCTTTTCCCTCTCCGCCTTTTTCCCCTTTCTCTTTCTCTCTCCTCTTATCTTGCCCTCACCGCTAAACCTGGGCACCGTGCCGGGCCGTGCCGCCGCGGGCCGTGCCTGGCGGGCCACGGGCTGGTTCGTGTTGTGCCGGTCGTGCCAGCGGGCCCAGGATTTCGTGCCGTGCCGTGCCGGGCATTTTCACAGGCCATCCCACGGCACGGCCCTCGTGCCGTGCCGGCCACGTGCCGGCCTGCGGGCTGGCCTGCGGGCTGGTGCAGTTTTCAAATAATTTTTTTTTTTTTTTTTTTTTATATATATATGACAACATTATAAATTAATAAGTTTATAATGTATATAAGTTATAAAATTATAATTATAAGTTTTATAAGGTTATAACTTATAAGTTATAAGTTTATAACTTATAAGTTATAAGTTATTAAATTATGAATTTTATAATTATAAGTTGAATATTTATGTTTTATAATTTGTATATTCAATATTTATATTTATATATTTACTTTATACTATTACTTTAAAATTTAATGTTTATGATTTATTAGTAATTGGTATAATTTTATTTTATTTTAATATGAATTTACAAATTGTAACAAAACGGGAAAAAAGGCAAATTGGACTTTGGATGTGAATAATGCGTACTTTATATTATTATTACTTGAGTTGAGAAAATTGTACAATGATAAAAATCATACAATGATGGTATTAAACAAAAATTGGAAAATGATAAAATTGATATTTTTAAAATCGTACAATATACAATAATTGTCTATTCTTCTTCTCCTTCTTCTTGCTCGTCTTCTTCTTCGCCTTCGCCTTCAAGGTCATCGGCTAGTTGCATAGATTGGGAACTAGCCGAACCCGAACCGGAAGCGGAGGTTCCTTCTTCGTTGTCGTTGTGGTCGTAAGAACGGTCTTGTGAGCGATTTTCCGCATCCAACCAATCTTTGAAACACACGCACATTTCTAGTGTTTCGGGTTTTAGACTTGTTCTTCTATCGTCTAAAACCCTTCTGGATGCGCTGAAAGCTCGTTCGGAGGCGACGGAGGAAACTTGGATAGCAAGAATGTCTCGTGCCATTGCCGCCAAAGTTGGATGCTTCGAGCTTTGTTGTTTCCACCATGCAAGGAGGTCGAGGCTGTTTATCTCATCGTCGTCCATGCCTTTGGTGAAGTCGTAACTCAGGTACATCTGCAACTCCGAGACGTCGCTTTGCGTTCTCCTGATTGATGAATCACCTGAAAACCTTGAAATCAAGTTAGTAGCTTGTGAAAATAAATGTTTGGCCTTCTTACTTACGTTTTTGGATGGTTGGGAAGGCCCTGAGCGAGGAACGGTGCCATATTTGGCTTCATAGACTCTATATAAAGCAAAAAATTGATCCTTCACATTAGTCTTATAGTTTTCTACATCATCGTCAAGAAACGTGCATTGAAAGTAAATGTCAACTAACATAAATGTGTTTTCATACTTTTACCTAGGATCTAATATGGAAGCAAAAATATAAATCAAAGGAATCTCACTATAATATTTACGCCACTTTTTTTCCATTGCTGGAAGATACTGATCATAATCACTTTGATGGCGATGATCAGCGAAAAGTTGGGCGAATAAGCATGCATTAGAAAGAAAGTTTTGAGCACAAGGATTGTAAACAGTAGAAAAACAATATGTCATGTTATATAATAACTGTAAAAATTGCATATATCTTTCACAGTTATTCCAATCATCATCATACAAAGCATTTTGTGGAAATTTTTGGTTGTAAAATAATGTTAACGGGCCCTTGTACTCAATTGCCTTTGTTAACATGTCATAGGTGGAATTCCACCTAGTTGGGCAATCGGTTCTAATTTTTATTACCCTTATCTTTTGTTGTTTTAGAAAACTCTTCCATTCTTGGTATCTCATGTTAGAGCTATTAATAGACATAATAGCATCTCTGATTTTGCTGTAGTATGGGCCAATTGCCCGAACTCCATCATGTACACATAAGTTAAGTACATGGCAAACACATCTAGTATGAAGAGCTTCACCGTCTAATAGTACATCGGTTAAGTTTTGTTTGATAAGATTAGTTGTGTATGTCATAGAGGTTGCATTATCAAAAGTCATAGACATCATTTTATCTCGAAGGTTGTATTCGTCTATTGCTTGCATTAAATGGTGAGCAATGTTAATGCCGGTGTGTGGGTATTCCAGCATTTTGAAATGTATTATTCTTTTTTTGTAACATCCATTGATCATCTACCCAATGGCAAGTCACACATAAATAGTGATATTTATAACCACTATCCCAAGAATCGGCTGTTAAAGATACTCTACAGTTAAGGTTACTCAATTCGGCTTGTAACCGGACTTTGTACTCTAGGAAATTTTTCATTGCGGCGGAACGAACGGTTTTCCTAGAGATTCTTTTATGTTGGGGTTGTAGTGCTTTGTTAATGTAGGTGTTGAATGCGTCACTTTCCGAGAAAAGAAAAGGTTGTTCGGCGTGTACTATCGTTTTTCCTAGTTCATCCCTATCCCTCTCATAGTTGTATGTAAAGCCGTATGGATGGAATTGGGAAATTTTGGGCTGGGTTGGATCACTAGCTGGTTTTGCACAAGCTTTCATGTGTCTAGATAAGTGTCCCGTCCCGTTTTTGGTAACTGCCGTGAATACACTATTACATGTTTTACATTTTGCCCATTGTTCACCATCTTTACTTAGGACAGAACCGGAGGGAACTCGGGTACTTTCTTGGCTACCTTGGCTAGAACAATAGTTTTGTTGATCACCGATATAATTAGGTGGAAATTGGTATGGTGGTAGTGGAAATTGGTTTAGTGGTGGTGCTGGAAATCCCGACGTATTATATGGCTCATAGCCCGGGGGGAAGTAAATGGGGTCATTGGTTTGACTCGTAATTTGGGGGCTCGTTGTATTTGGTGGTTCCCTAGAACTACTACTACGGATAAGTCGGCCTTTCCCCCTAGACCTAGATAATGGGTTGTTCGATGCCATAATTAACAATTAATTTTTTAATAAAAAGTGGTTAACTATAATAATAATAATTAATAACAACAATTTTAACAATAAAAATATCAATAATAATAATTAATAACAACAACTATAACAATAACAATAACAACAAAAATAAATAATAACAACAATTGTAACAATAATAATAATTAATAACAACAATTATAACAACAACAATAACAATTAACAACAATAATAATTAAACAAGATTATTCTAATAATAACAATAAAACAATAATAAATTTAAGATTAGTTTAGATCTTACAACCGTGCTTCAACGCTCCACTAATTACGATTACGAACTTTTTAATTTTTTCCGATATTAGGAAAATAATTAGAGAATTTAAGAGAATAATTAGAGAATTTAAGAAAATAAGGATTATTAGAGATTTAGAGAATATAAGAGATAAGAAGAAGAGATTGTGATTTTGTGATTTGGGAATGAAATGGAGGTGAGTATTTATAGAATTTTTGGGGAGCAAATTGGCAAAAAACTAGCCGTTTTTTTGGCTTATTAAGGAGCTAGAATAAACGGTAATATTACCGTTGGCCCGCGGGTCGTTCCGGGCCGTGCCTGCGGGCCGGCACGACGGGCCAGCACGGCGGGCCATGGTCGTGCTCGTGCCGGGCCGTGCCTGGGAATTCTCAACCCTGTCCGTGGCACGGGAGTTAATCTTCGTGCCGTGCCGTGCTTGAATTCGGGTCGTGCCGGGCTGCGCCGAACGGCGGGCCGTGCCGGGCGGCACGCGGGCCAACCCGGCCCGTGCCCAGGTAATTAGTCACCGCCTCTTTCCTTCTCTTTCTCTCTCCTTTTTCCCCTTTCTCTTTCTCTTTCCTCTCTTTCCCCTTTCTCTTTCTCTCTGCTCTCCTTTTTCCCCTGTCTCCTCTCAACAACAACAACAAGGAAAACCGTAACAGCTGTCGCGTCAAGCACCGAAAATATAGGTTTAATATTAGTTAGTTTGTAGATCTAGGTTAATTTTTTACAAAATTTATGATTATAATTATTTTTTTGATGAGATTGTAATGTAAATTTATAAATTTTATAATGTAAGTTTGTAAATCATGATTTTCGGATTTTTAAACTATGTAATGTATAAATTGTTTTTTTTCGATTTTTTGGTTTTTGTTTCGATTTGGTTTTTCAGGATATTTTTCGGTGGTGGTGGGTTGTGGGTTTTGGGGGTTTCGGTGGTGGATTGTGGGTTTCGGTGGTGGTAGGTTGTGGGTTGAGGGTTTCGGTGGTGGTGGGTTGTGGGTCGTTATAGGTTAGGGGTTGTAATGGTGGTGGGTTGTGGGTAGTTGTGGGTTAGGGGGGTTTCGTGGGTGGGGATATGGGTTAGGGGGGTTTCGCTGGTAGGGATGGGTAGGCTGGTGCGGGTGGGTATGGGTGGGTGGGGTGTGGGTTAGGGGTTGTAGTGGTGGTGGGTTGTGGGTTAGGGGGGTTTCGTGGGTGGGGGTATGGGTTAGGGGGGTTTCGCTGGGTGGGTATGGGTGGGCTGGTGGGGGTTTTCGCTGGGTGGGTATGGGTGGGTGGGTGTGTGGGTGTGGGTTAGGGGTTGTAGTGGTGGTGGGTTGTGGGTTAGTGGGGTTGGCTGGTGGTGGGGTTTCGCTCGATGGGTATGGGTGGGCTGGTGGGGGGTTTCGCTGGGTGGGTATGGGTGGTGGTGGGGGGTTTCGCTGGGTGGGTATGGGTGGTGGTGGGGGTGGGGGCTTTTTTTTATTTTTCTTTAATAAAATTTCCGACGGAATATTCGGTCGGAAAAAGTAGATTCCGACGGAATATTCCGTCATAAGTTAACTGTTCCGACGAATTATTCCGAGGAAAAATCCGTCGGAAATTTGCGACGGACTGACGTTGAAAGTTAAATCCTTTTACGACGGAAATAATTCTGTCGGAAAGGCCATTTCCGACGGAATTTCCCTCGGAATGACCCAAATTTCCTACGAAGTGTTTTGCGACAGACCTTTTCCGACGGAATTTTTCGCTTATTCCGACGGAAAAAGTCCGTCGAAAATCGGTTGTTTTCTTGTAGTGTAAGAAACTTCATCTGAAGCAATACAATCTGTGAGTTAGCACTAATTCGGCTTGAAATCCACAGATACGTAGTTGTATGGGTGAAAAAAACTCATATGGTCTTCTAGATACATCCGGAGATTATGAAACCCTAAATCTTCAATATTTTGCAGTCGAACAAACAAAGAAATTAAGCCTAATAGAATAACACCATCATAAAAGATGGGATCCATTATTGAAAGCAATTAAAAAGTTTTTTGGGGTTTACCACTGATAAAAACACCGGTGAAAGCCCCTACAAAAATTTACAATTGAGGCAAGAGTGAAGGAAAACCTTAAAAAAAAAAAAAAAATAAAATAAAAATAATAATAATCTAGCAATAGAGGCTAGAAAAACTCTCCCAAGAAATAAACCCTAGAGGGAACCAAAAAACCCTCTCAAGGAGAAAACCTAGAGGGAACCTTATTGTATGTGTCTTTTACCTGTATCATTTAGAAGGGATCAATAATTTTACCACTTTTGTCCCTCGTGATGAGGGGTTTCTAATGTTATATTCCTTACCTTACAAAAAAAAAAAATTACCACTTTTGTATTTATTTTTTTTATTCGTCGTGACATGTTTTTTTGGCTGGGGGTTTTTGTGGCCACGTGTCAGGTTCCTTTGCAAAAGTAATATGCTGGAAAGTTACTTCTTCTTCGTATCTCCTTTGTGGCCTGGAGTTGTGGATCACTAGATTTTATTGTTACGTTACTGGTTTAAAAATAAGGTAAGTTAATATTGGATGGAGATGTTTTTTTATCATCATCGGATTTTTAGTCAGCATTTACCGCGTTTTATTATGGATATAAAGATGGCACCAACTCAATGCAAAACTTGATCTAACAAGAAAGAAAGCTTTGCCAGCACAAGCATATGATGATAATATATATTGTGCTTGATGAGTAAATTTTTTTTTTTATTATTTTTGTTAGTTTTTTTATTTTTATTTTTTTTTTTGTTTTTTCTTGGGCATTGGCCTTCCCACGACATAGAAGAAAAATGATGAAACAGAGGTTTATTTTATGTTTGATCTATGGTTTTAGAGCTAAGCTATGACACAACATACATGAGCAAGAAAATACGTGTTAGTGCATGGGAAAGTCAATTTCATGTCTGTTGAGCCTTATATTGTATAGCTATTGGGCCAATGTTACCAATCCTAATCTCTTGTTAGGTTGTATATATATATACTTATTCATACAGTAATACAACTATAAAAAACTATTCTCTCTATTCTTGACATGGTATCAGAGTAAGTTGTGTGTTAAGGTATTTATCAAATTCTTTGGATTGCGGTTCACAAGGGAGCAAGAAACACAAGGTTGTCAGCCTACTCCACAGCCTTATTCCAGCTCGCGACCTTGTCCGCAGCCTAGTTGCGGCCTCTTTATGAATTAGCTCTATTTTTGGGATTTTAGGAGTCCTAATCTTAAGTAAAGACTACTACTATTTTTCTAGCATATAAATAGGTTTTAGATAGTCTTTTATTTATCACTTACATACATTATTTTAGAGTTTTTGGTATTACGTTCTTCTACATTATTTTCTAGGGTTTTGCTTTTAAGATTTCATAATTAATTCCAAGTATTGATTTCTTCTCTCAATTCTCTTATTTTATTATTGTTAATTATATTTTCTTTATTGAATATCATTCTTGATTTCATAAAAATATGTGTGAGTAGTTTCCTTATTCCAAGATCTAGCGGAACCCGAATATGGTTAATGCATGATTTAATTCTTTAAATTCTCTAATGATAATTGCAATTGATATGCTTAATTGATTGTGCTCATGTCAATACTAGATTAGGGATAATTAGTATTGTTATTAATCCATTGTTTTAATGGCGACGAGGGTTGGGTTCTAACAGGTTTGAATAAATCAATTAAGGGTTTGAAATTCATCACGAGAGTAGTTGAATGGATGATTAGGAATCAAGGTAATGTGCTTAATGTCTCTAATTTGCATGATTCCACAAGAGTAGGTTTGATTGTGATTAGGGAAGTCATTGACAACTTGAGAAAGACCATTGGTACTATTTAGAAATTACTCTTCCTCAATAATCAATTGAATTATATGTTAGGGGTAGAACAACTATTGCATTAATTGTTATCGTGGTGATGCTTAACCTTGCATGCTTTTAGGATTTGATTTGTTATATAATTTAGATTTAATTGCTTTATTAATTAGTCCTTTAGTTATTAATTCTCACTATTGTGTTTGGTTACTTGTTTAGTATCTATTTGAGTCAGTTTAATTAGTCAAACCATAGTCTTTTGGGATTCGATCCTTACTTGTCTATCTACATAGTAGTGGTTTTGTTAGGTTATTGTTGTTAGGTACACGACACGTCTATCATTCAAATTCAATTCTATTCATGTAATTATAGACCTATATTCAATCAAACTAGAACATGTTCTCTTCACCTTAAAATAATACTACTATTTAGTAAAAATAACGTCAAATCTGTAATAATAATTTCGATCAGTTCAGTAAAAATAAATTCAAATCAACATAAATAATTAGTAAAAATTAGTAACTTTAAAAAACAAATATAATAGAGAATTAGTTTGCTACAATAATTTAAGTTTAGTATAAATAAATTCAAAATTACTAAAATTTATTTCAATTCAGCAAAAATTAAATAAAGGGAATAGGATAGGGTTTTATCTTAATACCAAGTATATTTTTGGTAAAATCATCATATAACACCACCTTAGAGAGACAAAAAAGTATGAATAAAATTTTTTTAAAAGTGCAAGAAAAAGGTTCATTAAATTTCAATAAAAAAATTTCATGGATGTGAAAAAAAGGATCACAATATAATCCCACAACCAATGAAGCAAAAGGTGAATAATTCAAATTAATTTGTTATATTTAATTTATTTTAATTATAGTATGCATGCCAGGAGGATTGGGCCACTACTTGAAATAGTGTAGACAAGAAAATGGTAAACAAGATTTCGGAGAGAAAATGCTGACATGGGCAAAAAAGCAAAGGGCAAGTAGACACTTTCCCAAACTTTCTTTTTCTCTTAAAGCATTTAAAGATCTTCTCCTAACACCCCCACATTCATTTTGTGGCTCTAAATCTCTCCTCTTTTGATGACTTGGCATTTCACCTTCAATTCTCACCCCCACAATTCCTAATTTTCATTTCTTTATATATTCTCTTCTCCTTTCTTACTGCAACTGATCATCCTCAACTCGACGAGTCAATCAAATTATGTAAAATTATTTTATAGCCAAAAGAATAAATATGTCAGAGAATTATGAAGATTTTTCAATTAAGCTTTTTGGGAAGACGATTCAAGTAGGTTCAAATATTAATGATGATTTTGTGAGTGCATCGGTTTTTGAGCCTTCTTCTGCTGCTGTTGATTTTGAATATGATTGTGAAAGTACTTGCGATCAGAATCTTCTCTGCTCTAAACAGGACAAAATCAGGGGAAATGAGGTTTGTTTTTTATTTTTTTTTAATTAAATTTCTGTACTTTATCTTTGTAAAGTTGGGATTTTGGGTTTAACCCTTATGGTGAAATTCATGAATTTGAACTGGGTTGTTCTTTGTTTTCCTTGATTTAACCAATTTTTTGATTTTTTAAATGTGATATCATTTGTGGGTTTATTTTGGATATCATGAAACCGATTTTCCCTAAATTCTGGTTTGCTTAGCAGTCTTTGCAGTTACCCTTTTATATTTCGAACACATTGTTTATGCTCTTAGGTGCATGATATAATTAGCGTATACATACTATGTAGGAGTATTTTCTAATGATATCTTAAGCTTTGTGAGAAAATTATAATTCTTATTGACAAGTCATTTTTTTTTTTTTTTTGTTGGGTGAAGTTTTAGACAATTGGTAACAGCTAATCTGAAACAAACACTCGGATCCTTGTAAATATTGTGGACTTGTGGTCAACCAACTTTTAGTCCATCCTTTGATCACTAATTTCATCTTATCTTCAATTTCAAAGTTTTGTTAATTATATCCGTAAGTTTTGTATTTTATATATTCTTCAATGATCTGGTTTCAATCAATAATTTAGACAACAAGTTCTTGTGTTTTTCAAGCTTTAATTAATTGTACTATCAAAATGGTAGACTTTCACCCAAAATCATCCCAAAAATTTTGTTTCCTGGTGTTGTGCTCATGTAATTTTCAGTACGTCTATAGATAAGCAAGATTCATAAAACCCTTTTTGTCCCTGTTGAAATCAGTACTTAAATGCGAAAATAGTCTAATGTTTGTTGGTGTTCTTTCTTTTGTAATTCAGGAAAAAATAACAAAAGAAGCAATGGAAACCAAGCGAGAAGGGGAACTATCTTGTACCTCAGTTTTAGATGAGCCTAAAACACCAACTACCCCTTCAACAGACACCGAAAAGCCGAAAACTTGTACCATAGACAAATTTTGCTCATCCCAAGACCAACCTAAGAAAGATCAAGACCAAAGTGATCAAGCAAGCAGTAATTCTGAGTCAAATGACCAAAACCCTCTCAAAAAACCTGATAAAATTGTCCCTTGTGCTAGGTGTAGTAGCATGGACACAAAATTCTGTTACTATAACAACTATAATGTTAACCAGCCGCGCCACTTCTGTAAAAGCTGTCAAAGATACTGGACTGCTGGTGGCTCTATGAGGAATGTTCCTGTGGGTGCAGGAAGACGGAAGAACAAGAATTCTGCGGCTTCTCATCACCGCCATCTAGTGATTCCGGGAGCCTCTGATTGCCTAATTCACCAAGTGATGAGGCCAGATGGGACAGTTCTTGCCTTTGGGATGGATTCACCTCCTAATTATTCCAAGGATTCACAGAAAAACTCGGTGTCATTCTCGAATCCTAATCTGGTCTCCATGAAGGAAGCAAATTGTAATGGAGGGACAATAGAGAGTCCTCAGCCGGTTCCATGCTTTCCTTACAGTTGGAACCCTGTCTCTTGGCAATCAGGGTTTCCTGTATCGTTCTACTCGACATCCTCGCCTCAGTGGGGTGACAGCATAGCTGCAGGACCTTGCAATCTGCAGTGGATACCAACTCAGTCATTAAACTCTGATCAGTCATCTACAAATTCCAGTCCTAATAATTCTTCTTCCCTAGGAAAACATTCTAGGGAGGGTAGGACATTGGAGCCATTGAACACTGACAACAACGAGTCTTCCAATGACAAAGAACTCGAAAACTTAATGCCAAAGACACTGAAGATCAATGATCCTATAGAGGCTTCTAAGAGCTCAATATGGACTATTCTCGGAGTCAAGAACAACAATCACAATGCTAGCTCTTCAATCGGGAGAGTAGCATTTTTTGGAGGGTTACAACAAGCTAAGGATGTCAACAACTATGAGATAAACAACAATGCAGCTGGTGTTGAAGCATCATCTTTAGCTCTACAAGCCAATCCCGCGGCATTTTCAAGGTCCCTAGCATTTCATGAAATTGCTCAATGAAAGCTAATGAGCAATGCTAGAGTAAAATTTATTTACAGGTACAAAAATTAGAGGCAATAACTTGAATTTGATCACTATATGATGTAACTAGATAGTGAATTAAATAGATTTTGGTGGGTTGGTAGGTGTGCAAAAAGAAGCTGCACAAATCAGCAAAGGAAGTGATGTACTCTGCTTATATTTGGCTTCTCATTAGCTAAGGGAAGCCTTTTTCCCCAACCCTTTTATTCTTAATGTTCCCTTGTCTAAGTCTGTGTATATATTCAAGCTTTTTTTTTTTTTTTTTTTCTATAACTCATCTTAAATTTTATGTGTTTTCTTTGACTTTTTTTTTTTTTTTTTGGTAGTAATATTTTACTAACTGCAACTACTTTTGGCATCATATATCCATACTTTATTTTTTTACTCGGTATACCAATATATCATCGGAAACCTTTTTTATACATATTGTTAGAGCTGTCACTTTGATTTGACCCACTTTACTCGATCTAACTAAGGCTGATTTTGGGGCTATTTATTTTGCTAGTAATTTGGACAATATTTCAAACTTCAGGCATGTTTTGCAAGTCCAAAACATGAGTTTTGGGTAATTTAGTCTTAGGCCGAAACAACATGAATTACCCGTCATAAATTTAAAATTTTACTTTACCCCTCTAACTCGAAACAGGCAATTGTTATAAGCAAGTAAAAGTTCATCTTAATCAGATTTATGATCACCTTTAATACATGACAAATTGACAATATGTCTAAGATTATTTTTTAATACGTACTAACTTTCAATGTGGATTGATTATAAACCAAAAAAATAAGATGGGCAAAAACATAAATCATAGTTTGAAAATGGGTTTTTTCATGTGTTGGATTTATTAACGTCCTAAGAAACTCCTCAAACAGAGAGGCGGTAAATCAAAAGGTGGCTTACCATTGGACTTTATGATGCCAACACAGCATATATACCCACTTTAATTTATTTTAATAATCGAATTAAGTTTTCTTTTTCTCTTTTATGATACATTTAATGTAAAAAAGGTAGACTGAAAAGTCTAGTAGGCCCTCACTTAAGTACCAGATAAGCTCGAATTGGGGTGTAAAAGGCCGAAACCAAAAGCATCTTTTCTTGTACAACCACCAAAAAATTCAATCTTTTTTTTTTAAAGACACCAAAAAATCCACTCTTTATATTCTTGATTCCTGATACGCTTACAAACAATGATTCAACACGGTTCAAAAATTATGAACTTTGTACGGTCAATACATATTTGTTATCGTTAATATTTTTAATTATGTAATTATAAAAAATATTAAAAAAGTTCATCGTAATAAATTAGATAAAACATCACATGACACACTTATAATGCAATTTTAACCATTACTAATTGCAAAAATCAAATTTATGCATTGGAATATTTTCATCATCTCCAAAAATAACCAAAGTCATCCATATATTAAGTATACAACATTTAATCGTATGCCATTATATAAACAAATAATCGTTAAGTATCCTAAATAAATACAATGTAACTAATAATTACAAATATAAATTTAAACATAAGATTATAAAAATTAACTGGACATTGATGACCTAAAACTAATACAAATTTACTAACACAAAATTCGCTTGATGGGGTTTTGTATTGATACGAAATTTTATTTGTGTCGTATGACACTACACGAAAAGGGCAAATTGGCAACGGTTCAAACCCCCCCAAAGGCAACGGTTTTGAACCGTTGCGTATTTGAGGGTTGCCAAATTCCAAAATAATTGGCAACGGTTCAAAACCGTTGCCAACTCAAGCAATTGGCAACGGTTAACCGTTGCCATTGACCATTTTTTTTTTTTTTTTAAATGATTGGCAACGGTTAACAGTTGCTATTGACCTATTCTTTTTTTTTTTTGGTAAGTAAGCAAAAAGCTAATAATCTCAAAGGCAACATTTTAGGAGGTAATCATTTTTTTTTTTTTGGTAGGTAAGAAAGGGATATTATTACTAAAAGAAAAAAGGGCAAGCCCTCATAAAGTACAGCCGCACCGTGTCCTCATACACAAATAAATACGCTACGTGAAAAAAATACAAACCCCTCCAAACTTGGAGGTTACAAATAGCAACAAACCAGGAAAAAAAGAAAGAATAACAGCAGCAGGGCAGAAACCTCCAGAATCAGCAGCAGCAGCAGGCAGACAGCATCAGCAGGCAAAGAAAAGCAGGGACAGCAGCAGCAGGGATAGCAGTAACAGCAGCAAACCCGAAAGCCAGAGCTCAAACAAATCCTCTGCGTACCAGACAGAAAGTAGGGCAGCAGTAGCTTGAGGTTTGTGTACACATTGAACCAATCATGAGTGACATCTTAAATCCATCAGAGAGATTGTAATTTGATCACAAGAAATGAAATCCTGTTTGTTACCTCAACAATGTTATAATTGGAGCAAATCAAACAGGTCATTTCAAAATCAGCTGAGTCCCTTCATCATTTAGATTTAGTAACAAGAATGATCTCTCAAATTAAATCAATGAGATCTTAGGGACTCTATATTGCAAAATCAGACCACGACAAAGGGACTCACTATATCGCAAAATAAACCACCACAACCCCAACAGGGAGTCACAAAGCATGTACTCACAAAGCATGTTATTGGCAACCAAATCAAGCACAACAAATTAGTCTAGCAAATCAAATACCAACAACAAAATTCACACACCCCCTGGCCAGCAACTAATGTTACTGGAAACCAATCAAGTACATACAAACCTCCTTCTCAATGCAACCAAAAAATAATCAATAAAGATAAGGGTTCAGAAATCGTCACCGGAGGAGGGTCAATTTTCCCCTCATTCGAACCAGGACCTGACTTCACCAATGCAAACACACAACTCGCACCCCATGTATGGATCCAAAGATCCCAAACCACAAGACTGATCTTAGTTAATAGAGAAAAATGATCTATTAGACTCAAAATTCTAAACAAGCAGCTACTGTATATTAGATAGTAGCAGACATAGTGAACAGAGTAGATAAAAAGTTTACGAAGCTTGAAACAACGGAGTTGTGTAACAACGGGGTGGGGGGAGGGAGGAATGAATACAAGAAACATAAATGCCTACAATGCTATACAATCTGAATCTGCTTTAAAAAGGGCTCCTTTGTGTTACACAGATATATACTATCAACGCAATGATTGAAAATTCTATCAAAATTTGAACTCCCAGCTCTCCCCTATGATACAGAATGGCTTCCCTTAACATTCAAATCATCATATGTAATTATGTATTGCCTTTATACAATAAATTATTCAGGTGACTACTGGCCAAGCAGGAAGCACTCCAAATTGTGCTAATTCTCCTATGAGCTGCAACACTCTACAAACCAAGCTCCGTTACTGCCAATGTATCAATTGAGCGAGCTACCACACTTCCACCACAGCAAGATTTCTTTACTTAAGCTTATAAAGTATAGAGAGATTTTCATTACCTATCTTCTGATAAGCCCTTAATCTTTCAACAAGACAACCATGACATGTGCGCCAATATAGTGACAATAATGTATGTCTTGGGGTATCTGCATCATCATTAACTAAGGGAGCAACAACTTTAGAGTACAAATTAAGATCCTGAATTTTATTTATCCTCGTGTAATCTAAAGTTCCTTCAGGAAAACAATTTTTTTTCTTTTCTAACTTTAAAACTTCTTAAATTATGAACAACCAACTTTGGCATTCCTAGAACAAGTACTAACACTTCTCTACACTTATTGCGTAATTAATAAACCTCAACTTCATGCAGAATCACCTTAATGAGATGTACTCACACACTCCACACTTAGCTAAACAAATAAAGGCAAGCCATTGCATTCCCACATTCAGAGATCAATCATAAAAGACTTTCCATCAACCTTGGATTAGTTCAAGTGCAAATCAACTGTAAAAAAAAGCCATTTTTAAGTTTATAGTCCAAGCTATGCCTAATTGCAAATAGTCAAACATATAAAGTAACAAGAACATTCAAGTAAGTGTCACATTAAAAGTGGCACCATAACCGTCAAAACAACCACAAATCTCTGAAGTAAACATCCTCTTGGAAAATCAAGGATAAGTTTACAGGCCACAAAATTATCGGCCTACACGAAATCCATAAAAAGTTGTTGTCGTCGTCATCATCAACATATACATTATAAAAGTAACAAGATCATTTAAGTGAAAGTTATACTAAAAGCAGTACCCTAAGCTAACAACCTCATCATTAGAGTTGACCACAAATAATTACACCAATATTTCAAACAAAAATTAGCATTATCATTCCACTCCTAACAAAAAGCACACAAACAAAAGCAAATATCATGAACTAAGAAAACATTTTAGACAAAAGAAAAGAGAAAATTTTTCTCACCTGTTATACGAAGTAGGTCTGTTTTGACTTGAGACATAGAAAAACTTCATGATGACTTTAAAAATAAATTAATTAATTAAAGAAGGGGAAAGAAAGAGAGACACCGAAGAGATTCAAATCAAACCTTGGTAGAAAAAACCCTCTCATGCGATTCATCAAGAATAATATTTGTTGCCTGGTCAAAACCTTTTAGGATTCCCTGAATCATAATGGTTTCAACAAACAGCCCACAATAACAAACAAACCTAACCATTTATACAAAGAACGAAATCGAACAAAGACATGCTCATACAAGGTTTAATACTTAACCATTTTTCATGAATTTTGTTGCAAAACACTCCTTAAACATAGCATAACAACATGGAACAAACAATTTCAAGAATAATGGACCGAATTGAAAACTCCCAAATTCAAAATTTAGGGTTTTTTTGTTCGATTTTTCCCAATTTTGACCAAAAAAACTGTAAAATTATTTGACAAAATCTAATAACCGAATGAAATATTAAAGACAAAAAATAACTTAACTTAACCTCTTGCCTCGTATTTCGCCTCCTCCTTTCCGCAATTCGTACCCCAAAAAAATACGGATCTGAATTACCCCAAAAAGGCGAGAAAGACGAGAAATAAGGGGAAGGAGAAACAGAAGGGGAAGGAGAAACGGGAAGGAGAAACAGAAGGGGAAGGAGAAACGGGAAGGAGAAACAGAAGGGGAAGGAGAAGAGAAAGAGATTCAAAGAGGTTAGAGAGATTCAGAGAAACAGGGGGAATAGGGGAAGGAGAAGAGAAAGAGGGCCAAGGAGAGGAGAGTGCATGTATATGGGTTTTTTTTTTAAAAAAATAATTTAATTAATTGGCAACGGTTAACCGTTGCTAATTTAAAAAAAAAAAAAGGTAGAGTTGGCAAAACCGTTGTCATTGGGGGGTTGCCTATTTCTGTTTTTCTACTAGTATGATGTGTTAGATCTGCATGTAAAAGATCATTTAGTAAATAAAATATAAATATATAATCGTTGAGTATCCCAAATTAATACAATTTAAATAATAATTAGAAATACTAATTTAAACATAGGATTTTAAAAATTAGGCTAAAAATTACCCGACCATTGATGACCAAAAATTAACACAAAATTCGCTTGATGAGGTTTTTTATTGATACGAAATTTTATTTGTGTCGTATGATGTGTCAATTTATAATGGTAGGTATCACAAATTTTAATTTAATTATAATTAATGAACAATTTGTATTTCTTATCATAAATACTATCAAAATTTATCTTATAATGATAGGTATCAAACTTTATTATAAGCGTTTATCATTTAAATATTTTGTAGTATTTTTTTTTTGATTTCTTATACTCGTAGTATTGAATTAATAAATTTATCTTTTCCTATATTTTTACTTTATTTTTTTCATTAAAATAATTTAATTCGTGGATTATAATCTACGTGGCATTGAAATTTTAGATATATCAAATCTAATTCGTTACTTTTATCTAGGTGGCGACATAATTTTTTAATTCAAAAATAAAATACAAATCTTTCTTCTTATTGGTCGAAATAAGTATATATTTCTTACGTGGCGCTTCGAATGCTCTTCCAAAGTGTCTACTGTATATATATTAAATTATATATCAATATAATATAAATAAATTAAAAAATATTTTACATGACAACATTTTATTTTATATATTGATAAAAAAAATATAGTCAAAGTGCATATATAAATATTGTAAAAGTCAAATTATTAGAAGTAATCTGAAACAAAGATTGTTTTTTTTTTTTTATTATATATGAACAATAATTTACAAAATAACTTCAAATTGTAAATAGTTGCGAGATTTTAAAATTTTTTTGATCGGTATATATGCCAATGCAAAATTTTAACAAACGATATCTTAAATTATGAATAAATTTAAATTATAGAGTTGATGTACCGACATTATACTTTGAGACAATTTAACACGTAAATACATGAATATCTTTTATCTTTATATAAAGAACAAACATTGATCAAAATAGAGTACTTACTCTATATAATAATAAATAAGTTGTTTTGCCATCTTTTAACCAAGAACCTCCAAGTCATTATTACTCAATTTATATGCACTCTCCTGTTTGTTAAAAAAAAAAAAAAAAAAAAAAAAAAAAAAAAAAAAAAAAAAACGTAATTTCTCATATAGCTTTCAACTATGTTCCAAGTTCCAACATCGTTTTCCTTTACGGGTACCCAATATATCTCATACCCCGTACAATATTATGGAGCACCTTAAAAATAGAGGGGTTAAAAAAAGAAAAAAGAGTAGGAGTGGCAAACGGATAAAGTCGGATCGGGTTCGTGGTCAGATCATCTATTTTTGGGTCAGCTATCCTCCAACCCAAACCTGATCTATTTAAGTTTTTGGTTTGAAAATCTCAACCCAAACCTGATATTTTCAGGTTCCGGTCAACCCGAAAATGACCTAATTTGATTTTTTTTTTTTTTTTTTTTTTTTTACAAAATCTTTACCTTGAATTTACTGTATACAACTCATCATCACAAAACAAAGAATTAAAGGCCTCAATAATTACTCCATATAATTAATTTTATTACTTTCTCAAAAATTCCCCGCTATATTTCTAGTAGAGAATAATATTAGTACTACTAATAGAAAAATTAAACAAAAAATCTAATTAATACTCGCCGCCGGTACAAAACTTCAGAAATAAAAAGATGATTCTCTTTCTTTTTTTTTTTTTTTTTTCTTTTTTCAGTCAGATTACAAAGCTACAAAAGGATCAGCTGCAAAAAACATCATTGATTTCTTGAAAATAATCATCAACTTGTAACAAATTAGACGATGAATAACTGTTGTTATTATTATCCATCATACTAAAAATCGAAGTCAGATTTGGGAAAGAGGAGAGAAGGGAAGAGACCGAGAGACCAAATTTGGTAAAGAGGAGAGAGGATAAGTGGGGGGAGGGGCGGTGAAATAATTTGATACTTATATATATGGACTAGGCCGGTCATAGTTAGGGTTTTTTTTTTAATATTTGGAAATTCGGGTTAAGTGGGTCATTTTCGGGTTGGAATTTTCAACCTTAACCTAACCCAATTAATTTCGGGTCGGGTTTGTGTCAACTCATTTAAGTTTTCGTGTCGAAAATCTCAACCCTAGCCCGCTATTTTTAGGTCGGATTTGGGTTGGGTTTTCGGGTCGGGTCAGTTTTTGCCAACCCTAAAAAAGAGGTTGTAATTATTCGAAAAAAAAAGGTTGTAATTAATTTAATTGTGAAAAATGCATGATTTTTATTTTAATAATACTTTGTATATAAATATAGTTACTTACTTTTAGCCCACCTTCCAGCCCATGGCTTTCATCTGAACCTTGGGGCTAAAGAGTATGTTCGGCAAAAGTTGCGATTCAGGGCCTAACGAAATCTATACATGTTTAGCCAATGAGAGAGATATGGATAAGGGGCTCACCCCGGTTGATCAATCTGATTAACAAGAAATTATAAATCAGCTCTTTTGTGGGCCATGCTTTGCTACATAAATTATTATTATAATGATGTGTACGGCGGATGTCTGTAAGAGCGTAACGGCACTTAGAGGACGATCGTTTACTTGCTTTTATCCAAATTTTTATTTAAAAAATAAAAAATAAATACTCCGATGTAACTTCTCTACCTTCTTCTTTATTGACTTTCTTCTCACATTTCTGCAATTCTTCCTCAACTTGAAGCAGAGGAGAGAGATAGTACGAGAGTGAATATTTCTTCATACCTGCAACAATGCTTCTTCAATTTTTCTGTAAGCTTCTAAAAACAATGGAAGCTCTCGCTCTTCCCTTTTCTAATGGCCTCCAATCAATAAATTACAACCCTAATTTCGCTATTTTTCGCAATAATTTCCGCCGTATCGTTAACAAGTAGAGTAATTAATGAAGATTTGTTTGGGGTTTCGTAAAAAAAATAGAATGAGATTTAATTAGTGTCGAATTACTGAAATTGTGATGTCGATGTGATGCACCACCGGAAATTTCAATGTTGTTGACACTCGTACACCAATCATAACCAATCGATTTCGATTTCTCGATCCAAATAATTTGAGTTAGGGTGTATTTCAAAAAGAGTAAAGGTAGACAGATTCAACAGTAACACCAATTTTTGAGTCCATACATCGTTAAATCAACTAACGATACAATTTTCCATCCACCTTTCTTGTCAGCCTTAAATTACAATACTGCCCTTATTATATCATAGTATTTACGATTTTTACCCCCTGATTTCACTGAGTTGTTTCTCAGACTTATTAACATGTATTTTCTCATGGATAAGACTATGAGTATGATGATATAAGTGATGATCATGTGCTATAAATCTTTCGCCTCGCCTTGCCTCTCCTCCTCTCTTCTAGGGTTTCTTCAAAATTTTGATCGTTTAGGTCGAAAATAGTCTAATTTCTTTGAAAATTAGACTATTTCCAACCCTTTTCCCTTAATTTTCTTTAATTCAATTTAGGTTTCAATAAATCTACACGAATAGTGTAGATATTCGTCCGTCTCCCTATGGTGGAGTCGTTAGTTTTTGTTAGTTTAGTTGTTTGTTTATGTTTACGGTTTGTTTGTGTGTTAGGGTTTATAAAAAAGGTAATCATCTTTTGCCTTATTGTCAGTTTGTTGGTAAAGATTTGTTCGGGATCGCAACGGTTGTCAAGTTTTCAAATGCGTTCAAGCGAATCAGATAAAAATCATCCTTATGGCTACAAAAATCGTTAGACCGTCTCTTCGAAAAGGCTGTATATTCCAGCAATGTGTGCGAGAGATGTACAGATATTTCCAACGATTGTAGCTTTGATGGATGGCTTTTTTATTAATGAATTGATTTGTTTCAAAAAAAAAAAAAGATAGGGATAAGACTGTTTTTTTTTCTTCTTTTTTTCCTTTTTTTTTTCTCAGCTTATTTTAGCAAGCTATTGTTCAATTTATGCATCATATGATCATACTACGGTAGGAAAAACCGATTGTAAAATTTGCTTATTTGACTAAAATGAGCAAAACTTGTACACAGTAGGAGTAAGAGTTAGTACTCAGTAACATAGAAATTTAACTTTCCTCATTTAAATGAGTAAATATAATTTGTTTTCGTCTTTTTTATTGCCATATATTCAGGGGCGGAATCAAGAGGGGGTTGGCTGGCTGGCGTAGGCCATGGCCACCCCCATGATTCTCTTTAAAAATATTTTTAGCGTAAAATGTTAGTTAGTTGTGGATAGCTAAGTTGGTTTCTTTAAGAATCCAAGGAATGTGTGTTCCACTTGACCAGAGTTTGAGGTTTGTTTCACACATTTTTTTATTATATATGAAATAATATATATATATATCGCATTATCCGAACCCATCAAGTAACCTCTCGATTAACCCCTGATCGAGTAACCCCTTAAATAACTCCTAAACGAACCCCCGAGTAACCCTAACCACACGGTGTGGCCAACCACATATAAATTTTGTGTTGTCTATTTCATTTTGCACGGTCTTCAACATGTTCCTTTACCATTAACATCTTTGATTACATATTAATGTATATAAATTATTATAAAATTGATATTATAAACTTAAATATTGAGATGAATCTAAAATTATTTCACATGACTATGTTTGTCGTTGTATATATCAATGAGATAGAATTTTTAGTCAAATTTGATCATGGATTTATCAATAAGTACCATATTATGTGACGGAGAGAGTAATAAAATTATAAAGTTAAATTTTTGAGAATAAAATACTCATCAAGATGTATTTAACTAATTCACTATTTCACATGATTATTATTTCTAATATACCAAGGTACATACAATGTCAAAGTTCATTCAAATTAAAGGAGAAGATCATATGTACATTGAAAATCTTTTACAAATCGCTTAATTAAGGCGAATAATTAATATGAAGTACAAAGTAAAGCATAACCCATGTGAAATGGCGAGGAAACTTAAGCTAAGCTAAGAAATGGGAATAGTGACTTTAAGTCGGCATTTTATGCAAGATTTAAGTCTAAAAAATAAAGATTTTTGTTTGTCGAATTCTAAGTACGTACTATTCGTACTTCCCTCGAAATAAAGGTATTACTCATACTTTTTATCTCTTGACCTACTTTAAAGATTACTGTAAAATGATATGAAAGTGGGAGGAAGATTATTAGATTTGACTAAGGTTGACTAAACATTTCCTCAAGTTACTTTCGGTGTCACTATCATCGCAACTTCATGGAAAATGTTGCATAATTTCCAAGTATAATTAAATAAATTATCTTGTGGCTTAATTTATGTGTAAGGACTGAGCAAATGACTTCATATTAGTAAGGACTCTTGCTATTATATATATATATATATATATATATATATATATATATATATATATATATATATATATATATATATATATATATATATATATATATATATGCATGTCATACACCAAGTCACTAAGCTAATTAAGATTTATTTTTTTTAATCATTTCAAATGGTGGAATTAACCTTCATTTCATTCATGCTTAGTTTAACAACAACCATGCATTTATCTAATTACTTGAAACCCTTAAGCTCACTCTCAAATACACTCATTTCCTCATGTATGAAGCTATGCTACTTGATGAAATCGAGTAATGTCACGAATACTAGTTTGGCAAGGCCAATAAACGATGGTAATAATGGTGAGATTGCAAAAGAAGTCATTAGTGTTAATGAGGTTAATATGGTGATGGAAAGTCTAGGAATGAGTAATGGAGTAATCAAGGATTCGAATGATATGAATGTTTTAGGCAAGGGAGATTTTGAGGGATTGTTTGAGAAAGAGGAGCCATGTTTAGAGGAAATTTCGGAAGTTTTTCAAGTTTTCGATGAAAATAAAGATGGGTTTATTGATGCTATGGAATTGAGAAGAGTTCTTTGTAGTTTAGGGTATCTCAAAGAAGGATCAAATGTTGAAAGATGTAAGAAGATTATTAGAGGTTTTGATAGAGATAATGATGGACTTTTGGATTTTAATGATTTCCTTGTGTTTATGCACACTTGTTTGTGTTAATTAACTAGGTTACTACTCCTAATGACTACGCTGTATCAATATCTTCATACTCCGTGTTATGTTTCACTGTGTAGCTCGAATTTCTTTTGTATCTTTTTTTTCACCATAATTTGTTATTGAAGTAGGAAGATTGGAACATTAAGAAGTTTAAGTATTGAGATTATAATGTCCTTAATTTGCATGATTTAACCGGCATAGGTTAGCTTGTTGATTAGGAAAACCATTGAATACTCGAGAGATTTTTGGTATTTTTTATGGCTTGTAGGATTTTTTTTCTTTTTTTTTTCTTTTTGGTTTGTATATCTTTTAGGTTGGGCCTTGATCAGAACCCAAAGTCATCCTATAAGCCCATCCCAAGACCCACTTGAACAATTGAGCAATTTTTTAACATAAACCATAGGCCCAATACCATATTAGTCCACATTTTATTGTTTGTTTACAGAATACACATTATATAACAGTACATGATCTGATCATATTGGGCTGAAATTTCATGGAATTCTCTACCTCTAATAATTTGAGTCATGAATGACTCTAATAACGCGGCGTTGATATTACATTATTTTTAGATGGTATCATCTAAATACCAACAAGGAATTATAAAGATACCAACAAAACATTTTTACAGTCGTTGATATCACTGAATAAGTATTTTGGTATCATGATAATACCATCCAAAATATAATTTAATATCAACGCGTGTTATTAGAGTCATTCATGACTTAAATTATTATAGGCCGAGAATTCCTCTGAAATTTCTAGTAAAGGCATATTTGTTACTTTGTTTACAGTTTACATGATTTGAAATTTACTTGTATGCAATGACAGTAATAAGTATGGGCTTACTTTCTACATGGAGCTGGGGACACTAGCCAGTAGCTCAGAGCGCACGGGTGATGCTGCCCATGGCATTATGCACGGGGCCTAACTCAGGGAACTTTCATTGGCTTTGTTCAGGCGCCACTTCATCCTTCTGCGTTCCACATTTAAATAGTCCACGGACGACAACTCACATGTGCACAACACGAATATGGGGGTTCAACAATTACACAACCTTATGATGTGTGAGTGTGTAACTAATTTTCTCTATTTTAACATCACAAAAACTTTTTGCGAATAATAATAATAATTATAGGTTTTGCTATAACTAGAGGAGTGGGGGCCCAGATTGTATCTCGGCTCTCCATTAATTTTTTATAGGTTGTATGACTTTGTCTGTTTTTGAGATATAATAATAATAATGATAATTGTATTACGAACTATAAAGAATAAAATATGATGTATAATAATAATAATTATTATTATTATTATTATTATTATTATTATTGTAAGCTAAACGATGATGGACTCTTATATGAATCAACTTAAAATGATCTCAATCACCCCTAAATCATATACAGGCCAAACGATTCATCACAAAAATTTTACATGAACCAAATATTTGTATACGGTTGGGAATACATTCGAATATTTTTGTATTTTGTAATCCTTGTCATACTAGGTTTTCTAGCAAAATTATGACTAGTCTTGTAACCCTATATATATTGAATCAATGGTATTGGGTGTTCCTAAAATCTAACAACAATGATCTCACATCAACTCCAATGATGGATGCAACACCCGAGCGAATATACCCTGAATCAAATCGATACAAACCATAACCAATCGAAACGATCACCTATCCACTTCTAATAGCTAGCTATACACATACAAGGTGGGACTAATTTAATTGAAGGGGCAGAAAAACAGATTAGACAAGTAAATGTTTAAGGGTGACATCCATGCAAAAACAAGAGCCAAAAATTGGTTGTGTTGTACCCTACATAATCAAAATAAAGTAGTGAATCACAACAAACACAGTACATCCTCAAGTTTAATCATACATTAATGAAGTTTGATTGGAACTTCTACTATTTCTACTAATACTGTTGAGTTTGTTACAGATTTCAGGAACAGCTATCAGTTTTTGGAGGCCAGGCTAAGTTTTAGAAATGAGACAATATGGTTGCCCAGTAACACCTAACAGTTTCAGCCCACTTGCTATAATGTGGGTGCTAATAAAATGTTATGTAGGTCCTTTTTTTTTTTTTTTTTTTTTATTTATAAAGTGGGCCCTTTTTTTCTGTATCTAGTTAATGTTGTTTGTACTATGGTTTTTATGCCTTGTCTATATCTACATATGTTTATGTGATGCTGTGTTTAGATGTTACCAACTTGCAAACATGCTTCACACGCTTTGACATCCCTGTGATTCACTATTTAGTGAGTTACGGCAAGAGCTACAAATGGCAGTAATGAAGATGGGATTTGAAATTGAGTTGTAGTCCTAACCTGAATGCTAAAAGTAGAATAATTAACTTGGACAAAACATGAGATAAGAAATGGTGGTAGTATTTCCTAACACATCCCAAACTAGGATAATTACTGATGATCTTATTTCGAAGTCGAGTGACCCAAATAAACAGGTTGGAGCCGGTTGTGTTTTGAACCAACTTCGATAGACCCTACCAAGATCCAATCAAGGTAGCAGTGTATTGTCATAGATTGAAGCTTTGGTGTTAATGAAAACGCGAGCAAAACTCTTAATCATGACATGCCCATGGTGGGACATTTGGTAGACAACATTGATAATAATTGGCCCGGAGAAGATCGAACTTGCAATTGAATTGGAGCAGCTATGAAAATACATGTACTATAATTTATGAGAGCATCCATGTTGGTAAGATGGTGACTTTTGTTAGGGTCGTAAACTCTTGTTTTCCATCGTGACCAATGGTGGATTTTGGGCCAAAAAGTTGGAGAACCAAATTTGACTGTCCAATCTTTTGCTAAAAAACAACAATATTTAACCATTATGCCATAACTTTTTATGTGCTTTTACTAGACCTTTTATTATTTATAATCAACAACTCTGAAAAATTTAGGAGGGTCAAGACCTCACCTGCCATAACAAAGGTCCGCCTCTAAACATGACTAGCGTCATCATGGCCTCGATTAATCTGCTTAATAGTTTGTCAGTATACACTAGCTTACTTGATCTGTTCTTTTATTTACTCAAATCATAACATGTAAGTGATGCTAACGTATTCTAGTTGTCTATGTGATAAGAAGAAAGATAGAGAAATGAAAGTACAACAAAGACAGAGAGTAAACATGTATAAGCAAGATATTATTATAATTTATAAGGATGAAATGAAATTAAAGGAAAACGTAGCAATATTGAAAGGACAACAGAGGTATGTAGTATAACACGTTTACTTTCTTTGTTCCAAATTAATTGGCACATTTTTTTTTTACCATGTTTGTTAAATTAATATTGAATTCAACCGAAAATATCGTTAATTAGACTATTGTAAATAAAGTACTAAATTCTAATTAACTTCACATTGAAACAGATCAACAAAATTCCGTTTGACTATTTTTTTATATCTATAATTCACAAATATTAATCAAAGTATAGTTTATAAATAGTGTCAAAAGTCAAAACGTGTCTACTGATTTGAAAAGAAATAAGCACAATTGATAAAATTAGGCGATGATATTTCAACTAGCTAGCGAGTCTAAGACGAACATTTGATCTTAGGTACGAAGATTTAGCTCACGAAACTAATTTACATCAACAACCTATTAGCAGCATGTAACGAACGTGAAAAGATTAATGCAAATAACAAAATAGAACACACAAATTTACATGGTTTAGTAGCAAGAAATTTTATTTATCTCGAGAAGGATATATGTCAAATAATCTAATGAGTTTTAGTGTTCCAAAATTCTATTTCAGATATAGAGTAAGCACAGTCGTGATAGCTTGTGCCAACATACTTAATATAACAAGGGAAATGCCACCTATATGGGGCATGATGACATAGGTTATTTATAGGTATATGAAACTTAATAGACCAGGGAAGAGAGCAATAAGCCAATAATGGTGGGAATCCAAGAGCATAGCTAAGGGTTGTAGATAAATAATTGTTGTAGAAAGAAAGGATTATGTTAAGGTAATGTCAGAAAGGTCTATATGAACCGTTGGGCCTGCCTTTGTTTGTTTTAAACAACGAGAAGAAGGTGGGTCTATCGCACGTGGGAATGGTACAATCTGCTGTCCTTTCTTTTCCCCTACCCTCATAAGCTAGATAATAAATATATTCTGAAATTAATCATTTAATGCTGAATAGATAAATATACCGTTAAAGTCGAAGTATTAAACTAAGGTGTTGTTTGGTTCATTTGGAAATTAGAACTTCTCATAAATTGCAAATTCACGAGAATTTAATAAAATTGTTTCGTTAACAATGAGGAAAGTAACTTTCCATGGGAATTTCTACTTACCTACGGGGAATTAGATAAGTAAATTTTTACATTTTGTGGGAACTCAAAATTCCTAAGAAGTTCCACTTCTCCCATTTTTGTCAACCAAACAATACACAAAACTTGCAATTCTTAAGAAATCTCACTTTTCATATTTTTTTATGTCAAACAAACAAGCCCTAAATCAAACATTAATATACTTATACTGATCTGATTTACGCATGATTTTGTTATGCAATGATTGCATATAACATTATCAAAATATGTTACAGGTATCATTCATACGTTTTACTATTCATTTATATGATGTACTCCGTCTTTGAATTTGCATTCAACGAAAAAACAAATGAATGAAATGATACAAATATTAAAGGAAGAAGGGAGTAGGAGAAAAAATGAAAAATAAAGTGGTAAAAGTTGATGGGGAGTAGCAAACAGTAACTGTTACTCGCTTAACTATTTCCCCCACTTAATGAAAAGAAAATCTTGACCCCTAATCAAAGGTTGTCCTTTTCCTTTCTTATTACTGCTACTCTGCATTACACAGTTAAATAACTTCTTACATCATTTATGACGCACTTTTTCATTAAGGAATTAGTTTCTCCGTTTCTTTTTATACTCTTTATTTATTAAGATATTTAAGAAAAGTGGATCTCATATAATATAATACACTTTAAAATAGAATTAAGAAGTTTTTAGGAGTACAATTAAGTGGGCTATAAGCTTTAAACAAAGGTAACAGTACACTTTTCATCATAAAAACCTTCATTTCATAATGTGTTGTAACTATTGTGACATTTTCATTTTAGAAAAGTGGTGCAAGTATAAAGAAACGGGAGAAGTATAATTTCCATTCCCATCTTTTTTCCTTTTCATTTCTTTTTTTGTTTTGTGATTAATGAGGGAATTATTAGTTTTTATATTCTCTAAAGTCAATTGTTCGTTTATGGTTTTGCTGGTGAGGTGTCACTTAACTGGATGTTAGTGAAGGGATAACGGTTGTTTTGAATCCCGTTCGGTCTGGAATTTGGGAATCAAAAACTCCATATGAGCTTTCATCTTCTCAAGCTTTCATCCTCCATTAAAGATGCTCAACCTTTCATCCTCCATTGAAGATGCTCAACCATATCCAACGCCACCATAAGCCGCCGAAATTAACGAAAACCCTAAGAACAAATGAAAAATGGAGAAATTCAGGGTAAGGTTAATCCCAAGGGATAAGTGATATTTCCCTCCTCCAATGATTTTCATCATCAAAGATGAGCTTTCCCCTATTTGTGAGCTTTCAATCTCCATTAATGGAGTTGTACAAGGTGTGAACACAAACTGCCGTTATGGCGAGTAAACTGTCGTTTACAAGTATGCCTTTAACACTTGTCCGTGAAATTCCAACTACACCCCTATTTTTAACTTCAAAATGACGAAAATGCCCTGTGACTTTTTTGTCAAGTTAATCCCGGAGAGCTACATGGATTTACCCGTAAAAGATATCTAATGAATCATTTGTATTTGAATGAGTATTAATATGTTGTAGTCTTAGGTTATTATAATTTTCTTTCAAGGGGTTTCAAACATGCACTCATACTCTGCACACACAATATTAAAATTTATGGAAATGAAGATAATAAGTTCGGATAAATGAAATTCGGGAAATGATGGCATAGTTTTTCCAACCCCAATACCCAAAAGATAAAGTAACGAACTGAATCATCGGCAGTAATTATGAATCATCAGTAAGTTACTGTTAGAAATTGGAGTTACTCTTAGGTTGATGAACTGAAACCCACTGATATAATGGCTTCCTGTTGATATACTTTAAGCTTATTGAAGCTACTATATATTGAGCTGTTAACATCCTTCAGAAAAAAAAAAATATTTAATCCCAATATATAAATAAATATATTTATTACATAATATTTTTACCATATGCAAATGTAAGTCATTAACTTTAGCAGTAAGTATCTTCTGTGAAGTCATACTATTACAGAAAGAGGAAAAAGAGGAGAAGTTACTGACAGTTAAAAAGCCTTAGTTTTAGGTACAGTCTTATTATTATAATTGTCTAAATGTAGACATATAATTGGTTTTGGTACATCCCTTGTTTAGTGTAGTACACTTTCATAATGCTTTAGAAAGCAGCCCATCCAAAAACACATACTTGTACATGATACATACATATAAACATGTCCTCTAATAATAATAATAAAAATGATGACTCTCTCATTTTCATTATCTGGAGTCTGAAACTGAAATGGTGTCCATCTGTATGTATGGTCTACATGTTTAGTGACTTTAGTATGTCATATCTTGATTGTAGGTTATTTGGTCATGTAGTCATGTGTACTATGTATAGCTAACCTATTTTACTTGATATTATTACATATCATTTGTACATATTATCTTTTTTTGAATTAATTTAGCGCGCGACAAATATAACTAAATGTGAATTAGGCAAAATGAATTGAACTTCGATGGAAATTATTTAAGTCATATAGGATTACGAGTTGAGAGTGGTTGTCTTGTTCGGCATTGAAAAAGTAGGTGGATAAATAACTAACATAACAAGCATACTAAGTATATCAATTGACTAATACTAAATCAAAGAAGCTCAAATTTAAACAAGCTCTATGTAGTAATAAGTTCATTGCATCAGGTGGTGTTCCTCTCGTACAAAGGGTCTCCTAATGTTGATAGCGGGCTTATTTTCATTTTCAT